CTTCAGCGCCCTGACCCTGCTGCTCAGGTGTAGTCAGTCTTGCAGCCAAGCAGCCACCAAGGGCTTGCTTAAAAGCCTGCACCCTCGACAGTTTGGCTCAATGGATAGAGTATGAGCCTGCAGACTGAAGGGCCCCAGGTTCGATTCTGGTCAAGGGTACAAGGGTGCAGACTTGATCCCATTGTGGGGCATGCACGGGCGTACCTGTTTTCATTATCCTTTTTTAAAACCAACCACTGAGCCAGTTTTCCACCTTCGTTTTGACAGGAACCTCTCCCCCTTCTCTCTCATCTTCTACTGTTTCACCTGAGTCCTCTCCAGCCTGCGCCCACGTGTGGCTGTTACAGCCACGAGTCAGTCTAGAGTCTTCTGTCTCTTGTCTGGTCCTCCTCAACAGCCAGGAAGTCTGCTAGGGAAAAGCATGGAAGAAGGAACTCCCTGCTTGTGCCAGCCCCTGCCCCCGCACTTCCTTACAACACAGTGTGTGAGGACGGTGCTCAGAGCAGTTGCAGCAGTCTGCAATCCCGAGGGAAGACCAGGAGAATCTCAGAGACACTCTCCCCAAGCCCTGGGTCACTGAGCCTCTTCCCACCTCCAGCATCCCGACAGCCGGGAAAAGCAACCCCCTAATCACACCAGTTACTTTCTACCTAAGATATTTGAGTCAGTAAGTATGGTTAGAGGCTGGAGCGACAAAAACAGGTATTATATGATGCTTGTTCACACGATGCTCTGACAAGTAGGTCTATGTGCTTTCCATCAGAACACTCCAGGACCCTGCTGAGGAAATCCAATCGCAGCCTCAGGGGAATCCTTAACCCTCCATCTCCCCCAACCACGCCCATCCCAAAGGAGACTGGTCTGATGCCCTGTGAGATGTTCTACCTTGGCACCGAGGGTTGGGAAAGAGAACATATGCCACTTTTTCTCTTTTATGCCCCAATAAAGAGATTCCTAATATCGATAAATTCAAACTAAATGAAGGGCTTAGTTTGGTTTGCCTGATGTGATTAGCCAAAGGAGAAAAGAGGAATAGGGGTTATTCCCTCCCATGAGCCAATAGCCAAAACAAGACCTTGTGTGAAACACCTAGAGAGCTCAAGGGCACAGTCTCCAACTTAAGTGACAGCAAGAAACCTCAGAGGGACCCGAGGCCTCTCAGGCCACCAGCATTAGTGGGTGACACACCACATCAAAACTGAGTCTGGACCCTGGGAAAGGAGGCAACAAGAAAGACCTTCCAGATATATGGTGGAGCTCACTGGAAAGCAGCCTCCACCCCTGACCTTGGTTGAATTTCGGGTCCTTCAAGTCAGGGACCCTCTCTCCTTATTCCTCTAGTTGGCTTGGGGCCTAAAGTATCTGCCATTCAAAGATTCGGCGAGGAGGGGAGAGGATGCGTGTAAGGCTCCTGGCACTCGGTGCATGCAGAGTAAATGGTCGCTGTCGGTGTCAATGCGTTCGGCACCGAGCTCTCCCACCCAGAGGAGAGAGGGGAGGAAACATCTGACCAGAGTTACTACACCTGGGGTTACCGTCAGAGTCCTCTGTGGTTGGATCCAGAGTTAGAATCTACAGTTAGAGTCGAGTTCGTCGTCCTGGTCAAATCTAGAGAGGTCCAGAGAGTGAGCCTCAAATAAGACCAGACTGAAAATGGAAACAACCACCAGCCAGCATCTTCACGTGTCTGAAGGCTGCTGGCACGGCGGCTCATTCACTTACAGCAGCCTACCTAACTGGTCATTTCTTGTTAGGGACTGAAATGGCCACGATCACGCCAGAAAATCCTTAATTCAACTAATGTTTAGCTGCAAATCTGCTCGTGCTTTAAACATACCTGTAATGGCTCCTCACTCCTGGGTGTAAAGTCCCCATCCTTTAGCTTGGTAAAGGACACGCATCCTCTGCCTGCTCTCCAGCTGTCTCTTCCCATCTCAACTCCCCATGCTCTATCCACACACAGCTATACTCAATACTACTGCGATGTCATTCCTGCTGTTCCTGCTACTCTGCCTGCAGGGCCCCCACCTGCCTTGCAGACTCACAAACATGTCACCTTCTCCAAATTCAGTCTAGCTCTCCTTTGTCCCCTTCCCCTAATCACCACTCTCTTTTGGTTGCCCTAGTGCCCATCCATACTTTGTTATACCAACTAGAAAACTCCACACCACTGCGTCCATTGTCCATGTCTCTGCCCTCCACTAGACTATAATTTCCTTATGACTGGACTACATGTGATTGATTGATCTTTGTGTCTGGCCCAGAATGGTGGACTAGTAAGTGTGTGGGGCATGGATGCATGGTTGGATGGATAAGGACCAGTGTGTATCTGGCCTCTGATAATACAGGGATGAAAGCCCTTTCCCTGAGCTCCGTGCAGGTGAAAGAAAAGGAATAAAAAAGAGCGATGGCATGGAATGAGTTGGGCACAGCATGCTGTGTGAGCTCAGCTGAGGGGCACCCCATCCAACATGGAAAAGACATACGTATTCAGGGGTCCTTCCTAGAGGAGCCACACGTGGCCTGGGTCCTGGTGCACTAGCACGTCTTTGATGGGCCACCGCCATCCACCCTCGCTATGCCAACACAGCAGGGCAGCCTACGCTTTAAGTTCTCCACTCAGCGGAAGCCACAGCATTTCCTCAGACACGGAGCAGACACCCCGTCCTTGCCATCTGCTTGTGTTCCTTGTCTCACAGAGTCCCTCATACAAAGGCCTTCTTCAGGGGTGGCCCGTGGCCCTCCACACCCCAGCCTCCGCGATCCTGTGCAAACACTCTGGAGGCCTACCCCACCAGTTTACCCAAAACTCCACACCTACCTACACTTACTTCTGAGTTTGTCTGAGTCAGCACACTTGACTACAAGATGGTTTAGCCTGATGGATGCTGGCCAAAGGGACCTCAGCAGGAAGGATGAAAAGGATGTCAGATTGCATTGAGGTGAGGAGCGAGCGGGAAGCGAGGAAAGGCCAGAAAGCAATCACAATAGCCAACTTCTTGAAACGTGTCCGTTAAGAAAAAAGAATGGAGGCAGGAAAGCAGGGCCAAATGAGATAGAAGGTGGTGTTTCTGGTTTTTACAAAGGGAGCAGTCACATGATGAGGAATAGGATTCAACAGAGAAGGAGAAGTGAATTCAGACACTGAGGAGAGCAAGGCGCGGAGGGGCAGCCAGCTACGAGGTGTGCTGCTGACCAGGGCCGGCGAGCAGGGGGAGACAGCTCCGAGGGTCCTGCAGAGACCCTGCCTCAGGAAGGGATTGGCCACAGGAGTCCGCGCTAAAGGAAGAAAAAGAAGAGAGATGACCAGACTCTCCCAAGAGCTTATGTAGGAGGGAGATGAAGCTAAGGCTTGAGAAGTGCCAAGCCCTGGCCAACAAGTGCCCTGGGCCTGCTCGCCCCACACCTTCGTCTTGTTGGCAGAGATCTCACTTCTTAGTGCCCTCTGTGCTACTCGGAACAGGCGTTTCCCATTTTGCCGGTTAATTTCAGTAATAATTAGAGCAGTTTGCAGGAGTCCCCTTCCTTCCCTTGAGAAACCACACGAGGCTTGGGATTCCACAGACGGGGCAGTCCGTGGGGAAGTCCAGGTCTGACCCGCCACACCTCTCGGAAGATACTCCAGGTTTCAGTGTAAAACTGTTCCTGGATGGGGACTGGGCCAGCCGGCAGGAAAGATCCCACAGCAGGAGGCCAGGGGGATTTAAGAGTGTATTTCTTAAAGCTGGGGACAGTGAGAATTTAGGAGAAAGAAAATGGAAAGACGCCTCAGCTGGCATCCTTGGCCTTGAGGGCTTTTCTCTCTCTTGCAGGTGGGAAGGTTTCAGCAGCATATTCATCAGCTTTCTAGGTGTGTTTGTTATGTTATGTTTTTTAATATGTTAACGAACCAAACGAGTGTGTAGAGGGACTAGGGTCATTCCCTGGTCAGCTTCGCCTCTGTGTTGGATTTGGTTTAGTCTGATGGTTTTTGTTGTTGTTACGTATTCCCCTGACTTTATCTGTCCTGGTGTTTGGCTGGCACTAATGGGCTCTCTGTTTTCTATCTCCCTGACCAGCATGATGTAAGCTATTTACTCTCCGGTTAGGGAGGAGGGGTGTAAACTGTTTGTTCCCAGCGTCTTTGATTAGGGAAAGTAAGAAGATATGATCTATGATTTACTAGCTCAGCTGTAGATTGCTTAGCTTGTCTGTCTCTGACCATGTGCCTCCGTTTCCCTTTTCCCACTTGTCAAAAATAAATAAATTCTAACATCTAACTCTTCTGCCTCAAAACTTCTTGTGCAAAAGATGTCACTGTGGAAGGGGATGGCTGGCCTTTGGTTTGCTTATGGAACTTACCGAACACAGAGGGGGTCAGAGCTGACCTGGGTGAGCATGGGCACCCCAGGGCAGGCAGAGCATCATCCCGCCCAGTGTGGACAACAGCTACTCGGCCCCAGCTGCTGCCAGCTGTTTCGTCAGACCTGACTTTCCAGAGAACAACAAGACCAGATTCTTTTATGAAATCCCCAGATTTTTAAATGTTGTAAAATCATTCCATTGAAACACTTCATTGAAACATCCCATTGAAACACTCACAGTAACAATAACAAAAAGCCCTGTGCAGGCTAAGAAAACAGCCCAGAGAACAACCTCAAGACCAGTCACAATTTTAGTTTCACTTCCTGTAAGGAGATTTCAATGCATCCTATTTCTTGAATTATTCTGTTTGCACACTCGTTTTTTAGAACCATCTCTCCCCGAGGGCACACAAAGATTTTACACAAGGAGGTCACGGCGGCTCAGACGCCTCCCTGGGGAGGGTCCGAGCTGTGAGAGTGTTCTGGCCCTGCTTCCTGCCACGGAAGGAACAGGCGCCCCTGGTAGCGCCGAGACAATGACACCCCGAGCCCAGCTACAGACGAAATGCAAATAGTATGCATTCCTTGGTGAATCACCTCAGGGTGCAATGACTTGGCGGCGGGCTGTCCCTTTAAAAATCAAGCACGCCAGGCTAATGGGGCAAACTCCTCCTCCAGGGAGGTTCCTTTAAATGAGAGCCAGCTGACGGGGCCTCCATTCTTACTCCTGAGCAGTACCTGCCCTGCGAGGAGGAGCACCCCCCCACCCCCCAGGATGCAGCCCACCTGCACGGCCCAAGAGTTCGTGGACAGCCACCTCAAGCCCAGGAGGATGGTGGTGTTCATGAAGCCCACCTGCCCCTTCTGCAAACGGACCCAGGAGATCCTCCTGCAGTACCCCTTCAAAAAGGAGTCGCTGGTGTTCGTGGATATCACAGTCACCAGGAACACAGAGCGGGTTCAGGATTACCTGCAGCAACTCACTGGAGCCAGAACGGTGAGCCCGGGGTTTTGTTCCGAAAGGCCGGGGAGGGGGCGGGGGAGCGGGAGGGGGAGATGGATACCCGATTCCTTTTTCTTGTTAGTTAGGGCCCTGAAAGGGTTCGCCTGTGCTTTTCTCTAGGACGCCGCCAGGGCTCCACCCGTCAGTCACTGAAGGCCCCGGGAGGGCGGGGAGCGGACACTGCTCCCTGGCCTGGGCAGCGGGCCTGCAGCCAAGGGCCCAGGACCCGGGCCAGGGTCCGTGGGCCCAGCAGCTGTCCCGGGTGTGGGGAGTGAGCGGAGGCTCTGTTTTCAGCATGCTGTGGGGAGTTTGAAGCTTGCAGGGCTGGGGTGGGCGGCAGGGAGAAGGGGCCCAGTGGGATCTGTACATTTCTGTTGTCCACGAGAAGGTCCTGTGTGCCCTTCTGTTCTCAGGTGGCCACGTGGGATTGCTGCCCTTCCGTCTGTTCTCTAGGCTCTCTCTGACGCCAATCCAGTTTGCTCATTCTCCCTTATCTAACGCCTCCCACTGGAAAAAAAATCTAATGAATCAAAAAGGCTTATTCATGTGCCCCTTGTTCTACATGAGGCAGTGTTTTTAGGCCTTTCCAAGGAGGAGGAAGTCAAGAGGCCAGAGTTCCGGCCTGGCTCTCTCAGTGGCTTGTGTGATCCTGGGCAGGTCACCCCCTCTGAGCCAAGGACCTCCTCACTGCTGCAAGCCTAGAGCAGCCACCTCTGCATTTCCTTTGCTGTGAATGGACCGGGGGACCCTCTAGGAATGGCTGTCCCCTGTCTGATAAGGCTTCTTGCGGGGTGCCCACCCACCCAGGCTGCCTGCACCAGGCCTGGTGCCAGCTGGGGTGCATGATGTCCCTCCAGCTCTCACCCAATCCCTTTCCATTCTAGGGCACAGGGTTGCAGAAGCACATGTCCTAGTTCCACGAGAGTTTGGCTCACCGGGTTTTCCCAGGGCTCTCACGGAAAATACGGAGGTTTTTCCCTGGTGCAGAGGGAGGCGACCTGGGTTCCCCCCTTGCTTCCCGGGCCCCAGCTGTGGGCGGGGGACTCTTGTCTCTGGAAGGTCCTGGAGCAGAGAGACTTGCTGCTTGGCTTAGTCCCTACCCCTCACCCCCACCCCGCAGCTGGGCTGTGAGAGGAAAGAGTCAGGCAAATACTGCCAAGGCCTTCTTTGTGCCGGGTCCCTCTTGGCCATTGGTTCCCAAATGCTGCTACACGTTAGAATCACCTGAGGAGCTTTAATAAAAAATAAAACCCCCATGCCCACATCATATCCCAAACCAAAGCAATGAAATCACTGTGTCAGGCCTCAGGGATTTTAAAGATCCCTAGGTCAAAGGGTGCAAACATTTAGTTATAAGATGAGTAAGTTCTAGCAATCTAATGTTCAGCAGGGTGACAATAGTTGATAATATTATATGTACGCTTGACATTTGCAAAGAGATCTTGTTCTCACTACACACACACACACACACACACACACGTTAACTGTGTGAGGCGATGGGTGTATTAACTGTGGTAATCATTGTAGTGTCTATATAAGCAAATCGTGATATTTCGTACCTTAATATATACAATTGGTCAACCGCACTTCATGAAAGCTAGGGGAAAGTTTTATTTTCTATCCAAAGAAAAGATCCCCAGGCAATTCCAATTTGCAACAAGGTTTGGGAGCTACGGTTTTCAGCTGGGCAGCACCTGTTCTTTACAGGAGAAAACGAACCTCTTCCTGCAGCTGCTAGACCAGTGGTCGGCAAACTGCGGCTCTTTGGCCACTTGAGTGTGGCTCTTCCACAAAATACCACGTGCGGGTGCGCACGTACAGACCCGTGGCCCATGTGCAGAAGTCGGTTTTCGGCTCTCAAAAGGAATTTCCATCGTTGTACTGTTGATATTTGGCTCTGTTGATTAATGAGTTTGCCGACCACTGGTTAGTCCTTTGAAATAAAAACGGCCACAGCTGAGTAACCTTACAGCACAGACAATGCCTCCTAGCTGAAGCTGGGGACTGGAGACTCTTACTTCTCCTACCAACTTGCTTATGGTAAGAGCTGTCTCTCTTTCTTGACAGTTAGACTCAAGTTCCCAGAAAAAGCGGATGGGGCCAGGAGGGGCAGGCACTGAGGGTGACTCTTCCTTCCTCAGATGAATCAAGTTTCCTCTTTTGCCACCACAGACACCTACACACACACACACACCTCTGGCGGGTACAGCCTGTAATTCAGCTCCCTTTGGTGATGCTTGTACCTGGTGGCTTTAAGGTGGTTTGGGGGCTGCGGACACTAGAGGGCGGTGTAAGAGCCAGGGGGCCTTTGGCTCTCAGGCCCACCAGCTCCCTTGCCAGAGGATGGACACAGAGCTCCACCCTGGAGACGGCTGGTGGAGTTTCGGGCCTGTCTAAGACACCTGGAGGCTGCTGTAGGCCTGTGGGGTTCTGACCTCTCAGTTACCCTGGGAGGAAGGAACAGATGCTCAGTGTCACCTGGTTGTTGCAAACACAATCCCTGAAGCAGCAGCAGTAGCATCACCTGGGAACTTACTGAAAAAGCAAATTCCTGGCCCCAACTCAGATCTCCTGTATCAGAAATTGGGGGGAAACTGGTGTGTGTGTGTGTGTGTGTGTGTGTGTGTGTAGAGAGATCTGTTGGCAGGCCGGTTGTGCGTTCCACTGTCTGAAAAGAGGACTCCTGGTCCTTCAGGACTCCTACTGATTTAGCTCACACCCTTCTGGCCAACACCCCACTCCCAGGTGGACAGATGGCAAGCTGTAGGAGTGGTGACAATGGCTGACTTCTTTTTGCAAAGATTAGAAATTCTAGAATGCCAACATCTCCTCCTCATACAATACAATCTAGTATAGAAATCAGTTGATCTTTATTTCATTAGGCACTGCCTTCCACAGGAGTGCTGCAGTATATTAGAACTACATTAGGATTCTGCTCTATTTACTGGTACAACTCACCACAGCCGAGTTTTCCGGGGGAGACAGAAGCCAAAAGGCCCCACCAATTTGTGGGGGAAGCTTTATTTTCTCTGAAGTAATGGCCAGGACCCAGGGGAACACTTAGGCTTCTGACCTCAACTGTCTGTGGCTATTCTTTCAGCCGCAGAAAAGCAACGGTGCCTGGATGACTCCGCCCACCTGCAAAGCCCCGCCCAGGCTGTGCTCCGGGGGAGCAGGCAGCGCCCGGCTTCCTCTCTGGCACGCAGCCCTGCGTGCTCTTACCCGCTCTCAGGGCACAGGAAATATCTGGACTTCTTTTTAAATATTTGGCCTTAATTTTTAAAGTCCACTTCCACCAAGACTGCCCCGCCCCCCCCTTTTTTCCTTTCAAAAATTTTTTTGCTGTAACATTTTTTTTTTTATTGATTTCAGAGAGGAACGGAGAGGGAGAGAGAGCTATTGTAGAAACATCAATGATGAGAGAGAACCATTGATTGGCTGCCTCCTGCACTCCCAGGTATAGAACTATGACCTGCTGGTTCATAGGTTGACACTCATCTATTGAACCACATTGACTTGGCCAGATCCCTTAATAAAAATAATGTAAGGACTTACCTGAAGTAATTCGGCTCACTTTTTAGAAAGTTTACTTGAATTACCATGGCTTTCAAGGAAAGCCGAAAGCTCTGAAAATTCTTTTTTTTTTAATTTTTTTATTAAGGTATTATATGTGTACATATCTTACCATTGTCCCCCCATGAAAATATTTTTACCACTTCTTGTCTTTCGCCTCTCCTGGGGTGTTCCTGGCTCAGGAACAGGACCAGCCCTTCGCCCGGAAGTTGTCCAGGCCACCATGAGAGGACTTCTTCCTCCCTCAGGATCCCCAAAGCCCTCTGGAATTCTGGAGTGTGCCTGCTCCCCGCAGCTGGGCAGGAGCTTGCAGGTGACTGGAGATGAACGAACGTGTCAGGCATAAGGGCTGCATCGGTCTGGCTTGCCTTGTGTGATGCACTGTTGCAGGTGTGAAATGAAAGCAGAGGAGTGGCTGTGGCTCCCAGGCAGCAGATCAAGGATGTATAACTGCACTAATACATCCTAGGACGGGCCGGGAATTGAAAGAGACTGGACACCACCATGCCTTTCCCAGCTGAGGACAGAGCTCACGAAGGAGGGAGCTGACTGATAAATGGTGGATCTAAAATTCAGGGGCAAAGACCTAATGCAAATACTTTGCCAGCTATATTTGGAAACAAATTCCTTCCTGCTGGCCCTGGCTCACAGTAAGGCAGTGGTTCTCAACCTTCCTAATGCCGCCGCCCTTTAATACAGTTCCTCATGTTGTGGTGACCCCCAAACATAAAATTATTTTCGTTGCTACTTCATGACTGTAATTTTGCTACTGTTAATGAATCATGATGTAAATGTCTGTGTTTTCCGATGGTCTTAGGTGACCCTGCTAGCAGGTTCTCAACCTGTGGGTTTTGTCCCCACAGGTTGAGAACCGCTGATGCAGAGCCTAAGACAGGGGTTTTCAAACTTCTCTCATTATGAGAATCACCTGGTGGAGGTGTTAAAACACAGATTCCTGATAGCACTTCTTATAGTTGGGATCCGGGAATCTGTGTTTTAACACCTCCACCAGGTGATTCTCCTAATGAGAGAAGTTTGAAGCCCCCTGGCCTAAGACCATTGGAGAATACAGATATTTACACTGCAAACCACTGCATTAAGGGCCCAGCTGCACAGACACCAGAAGTCAATCAGGGTGATGGTCCAGCTGTAGCCAATCAAAATTCCCTCCCAGAAATGTTTCTATAAAGTGAAAATTTTATTTCATTTTTAAAATATATATATTTTTATTGTCTTAAGAAAGGAAGGGAGAAGGAGAGATAGAAACATCAATGACTAGAGAGAATCCTTGATCTGCTGCCTCCTGCATGCCCTACACCAGGGATTGAGCCCGCAACCAGGACATATTCCCTGACCTAGAATTAAACCATGACCTCTCAGGTCAACACTCAACCACTGAGCCACGCTGTTCAGTTATACCTGGTAGAGTGAAAACTTTAAATCACTGACAAATTAGGCAATCTCATGCACAGCATATTCAATCTGAAAGATATGTGGCTTAAAAACATTCTTTAATCCTCAGAATAAAATTTTGTCCTGTAAGAATATACATGAGGAGATTGTGCCGAAACCAGTTTGGCTCAGTGGATAGATCATCGGCTTGGGGACTGAAAGGTCCCGGGTTCGATTCCGGTCAAGGGCATGTTCCTTGGTTGTGGGCACATCCCCAGTAGGGGGTGTGCAAGAGGCAGCTGATCGATGATTCTCTCTCATCGATGTTTCTAACTCTCTATCCCTCTCTCTTCCTCTCTGTAAAAAATAAATAAAATATATTTAAACAAAAAAAGAATATACATGAGGAGATTGTAAAATGATTTGAATAGCTTGGACTGTGGCAAATATTTAGAGAGAGGGAAACATGTCATTCTCGCTAAGCTAATAATTAAGTTCCTTAATTGACCTGGCTTGTTTGCTTTTTTTTTTTTAGGTACCTCGAATCTTTATCGGGAAAGAGTGTATAGGTGGATGCAGTGATCTAGTAGAGATGGATAGAAGCGGGGAACTGAAGGTGCGGCTGATAGAAATGGGAGCTCTACAGTTGTAATTACAGGTGAGTCACAGGTAGGATGCTGGACCGGGAACACTAGGAGAAGGTGGAATTCTACTGCCATGTTTTTTCATGGAAGGCTAGGTACAGGATGGTTTAGAGTGGTCTGAGGCACTGTAATGTCATTTATTAACTTCCCTTTTTACAAAGGGATTGTGCCAATGGGAGACATCATTTCACTCAACCTTCATTTCACAAATATTGAGCATTTACTATGTGCCAGACACTACACAAGGCCCTGGGAATATAGTGATGAACAAAAAGATAACATGAACCTTATATTCTAGAGAGGTGGGCAGATAAAAAGTAAGTAATTCATGAAACAAATGAAGAGACTAATGTGACAGAACATGGCAGGGGTGGGGGAGCAAATTTAGCTAATATGGTAAGAGCAGGTCTTTCTGAGAGGGGCCGGCTGAGTTCAGATCTTGTGACAGTCAAGTAAAGATGAAGCAGGAGAGGCTTTCTGACCGAGGAAATAGCGAGTGCAAAGGCCCTGAGGTGGTCAGTATAGAAAATTCAAGAATGAGAAAGCAAGAGCAGGGCAGTGAGAAACGAGATTAGTAACAAATGTGGGCAGAGGCCAGAGCTCACAGGCCATGCTAAGCAATTCAGATGATAACAATTGCAATGTGAAATGAAGGTAATGTGTGCTTCATCTGTGTTCACACTGCAACTCAATTTCAATTGAAGGGCTTCCCAAACACCAAAATAGAAGTTTTCTAAATTGGTAGCCTAAAGTAGCGGTCGCCACCCTATGGTCCGCAGACTACTGCTGGTCCATGAGGTCTGAAAGGTTGGCGACCACTGGCCTAAGGGGTATTCTTGGCTGAATAGAAAACCACAGGGCAATGAACCCCTTAGAAAGGAACCAGGATACTTTTGGGGTCTGTTGAGCCCCCTTCTTCCTCAGCTCCCCTTAATGCTAGCTAGCCTCTAACTAGTCCAGTTCCACAGACTCAGACACAGACTTGGTGGTGGTTTTTTAGTCAAAAGAGACATTTCTGGTTCTTAAAACCAAAATGTTCTTTGAGGGTTATTTAATAATGTAGCCTTGAGCAATGAGTATATATGCTTAGTGGTGGTTACTCAGAATAACCACAACAAAAAGAGTTCGGAAAAAATACAAATGAATCCTTTGAAATAAAAATCACTATTATAAATTTTCTAGACAATTCTATGACATCATCACAGCAGGTGACTACTATGTCTGTGTTAGTAGCTTTCCAGCCAAACCCCATGTACTAAAGCTCTCAAAATTCAATTAGTTGGGGTGCCACATGTTATCTATTCTAGAGCACCATTTTTTTTAAATTTTTTAATTTTTTAATTTTTATTTTTTAGCAGTCTAGGCTTAGATTAAGAATGGAAGAAAACAAATGACTCTTCTGGGAATATGGGAAATACCATTTCCCCAACTATGAGGTCCCCATATTCACAAGGCCTCTTTATTTGCTTTGCCCTTCAGCATGATATGCTCTCAGTATTTTGCTGACAGATACTTTCAAGGCCACCTGTAATGGATTGTGTATAAATAACAGGAGTACGTGTTCTGGTGATGAAAGAGAACTGAGGGGAATTCACCTTTGCAAGAAAATATAATTCTCTGTCTTTTTTTTTTCTGGCAGAGCAGACCCAGGCTGATGTCTCCCTTGAGAGCAGGATGGCATTGTGAATGGTGGCAGCACTTCTGGTGGATGGATCTGGGGCGAACTTTACCCAGCAACTGATTACTTAATCTTCTGAAATATCTAAACAAAAAAAAAAAAAAATGGGAGCGTTCTCAGCAAAAACAAGCTTTTCTTCTTTCAACTCTATTGAGAGTGGACCCACAGGTCTGAGATGTGGATGGGCGTCTTCGGGTTTCTTCCGGATCGGCCCCTGGGTTTCAATAGACCGGGACAAGTTATGGCTCAGGAATCCCTCACGGACCCAAAGTTCTTTCTCTGTTGCATGTGGTTCTTACTAACTGTTGTGGTTGTGCCAGGACTCCCACCTCTAAGCCAGTGTTTCCCAACCAGTTTATCCCAGGCTCCCTAGGATGAACTGATAGTTCATTGTACGTGACTGCCCAAACATCAGTTTGTGGAGTTTGAATTTCTAGTCTGCATTTTGAAGTCCATAGGTATTTTGAATGTGCTTTCCCAACTCCATATGTCTCCCCGTATCCTATCTTGAGAATCACTGCTCTGAACTCGTGCTCTGAACCTTGACAGCTCAGAGGTCATAGGAAATGCTCAACAGTCCTGGGAAGGGTCTGAGGGCCGATGTGAGAAGTGCCACACGAGACGTTAAGCACAGTGGGGCTTTACTGGGTCTACAGGGCTCGGAGGTCCACGTGCAGATGCTGTGATCATGTGGCAACACTGATTTGTGAGAGGATCCTGCTCATGTGTGCATGAATGTTAGGTGATGAGCAAAAGTTAAAGTTAAAACGTTATCATAAAAATCTTGCAGCTCCCATCTTTCCAAGAATGTCTGTGAAAGTAGCTCCACTTGAGGAGGAACACTGTCTTAAATGGTCTTATCACCTTTTATCCCACACTCTATGAAAACTTAAGAATCCCTCATTATGAAGCTTGTTCTAGAATTACAAGATTAACTTAGCTTCCTTTTTCAGTCTCTAGGGTGAAAGGCTAATATATTTTGGTAATCACAGATGACTGACTTTTTTGGTTCTTAAGGAATGAAATTAATGTGAACACATCAATTTGGAGCTTTATTCATGTTTGTCCCCTGCCATTATAAATAAAAGTACATGCTATTCACTGAGAATGGTTGATGTGATTTTTTAAAAATCATATTGAAATGACAAATTTGAATATGTCAACACTAGCCTATTGAATAATGCTTAGGGTTCAATAATTTTTTTTTCCATAGCACATTCCATCTTTCAATTTCTCACTAAATGTCCTTACATTTTTGGCTTTCTCTCCCTTCCTTTATGGGCCCTGGCCACTTCCTTCAACCAGACTGTGGTGGAAGGTGCATATTGTGTGGGTCACTCACTGCACAGCTATGAATGCCACCCCCTGGAGGTTATACAGTGTGCAGCCTGCACAGCCCTTAATCCACTCCAGACCATCACCTGCACTTGCTTTCACACCTCTGCATCCTTGCTCATTGTGTTTCTTCTCTTCTGCTCTATTTTCAAATTTCTCCTTCAAGACTCATTTACAAATGATCTCCCTTGTACATAACCCTCTCTTCTCACTGCTTTTTTTAATTTTTTTTTTATTTACTAAAAGCAGCTATTATTCCCTCTTCTATAATCTTAAAGCACTGTGCATTTGGGTACTTGACAACTCTCCCCAGGTTGTATGGAAGTTGATCAATCTGTACTGGTCTCCTGCCAGATTCAGAAATACTGTGCTCAAAGGCAAGAGCCTGGACTCGAACATTGTTGCATGCCCAGTTCCTAACACAGAAGTTCTATGTTATCAAAGCAATAGCTGCCAGTGGCTTACCATGTCAAACGATACCAAAGTCTTTCCTCCTGCACCCCTCCCAAACCCTAGTCCTTGCCACACATTTATCAGTTCCATGTGTACTTAATCCTATTTTAAAACATCGTAAAATGTCTTAAACAGATATTAGAGTGTAAACAGGCAGAGTCCTATTTAAATTAAAACCTGGGTATCCACCTTCTGAGTTAAGAAACAAAGGAGCCATAGAACAGTGTTTATAAAGTCTGGACAAAGTACCTGAGAGGCCATGGGCCCCTTCCCAGTGTGTCCTTGCCTTCCTCCACAGAGCAGTCTACATAGTGTCTGTTGTACTCATTCTGATGCTCATCTTTATAGTTTTTTTTAAAATATATTTTATTGATTTTTTACAGAGCTAGAGAGCTAGAAACGTCAATGAGAGAAACATCAACCAGCTGCCTCTTGCATACCCCCTACCGGGGATGTGCTCGCAACCAGTGTACATGCCCTTGACCGGAATCGAACCTGGGACCCTTCAGTCCACAGACCGACGCTCTACCACTGAGCCAAACCAGTTTCGGCATGATGCTCCTCTTTATAGTTTTACTCCTTGCAATACCCCTAAGCAATACAGTTTAGTTTTGAAAGGCACGGATAAAGTAAGTACCACATGACCTCACTCGTGTGTGTAATCGAGTGAACAAAATAAACTGAACAAAAGGAGATCCAGAGACATAGAAGTATGGAACAGACTGTCTTAACCTTGGAAGGAAGGCGGGAGGAAGAGATCAACTAATGAACTTGTCTGTATATATGCATAACCCATGAACTCAGACAACAGCATGGTGAAGGCCTGTGGTGGGGGTTGGGGGCATAGGTGATACTTTCAACAAAGATTTTTTTAAAAAAAGAAGAGGTCAATGGGGGGAAGGGGGGACATAGGTGATACTTTCAACAAAGATTTTTTTTAAAAAGAAAAGCAATAACGAACACCAACGTAACAGCAAGAAAAGGGCAATATAACAATCAGATGAATGACCCTGGGAGGAGAGAAGCTGAACAGAGGCTCAGCTTCCCTGGAATTGACCAGAGGGTGGTCCTGAGTGAGCCCCTGGGAATACCGGGCAGGTGTTGGGAGACTACTGTGTGAGCACGGAATAGATGGTCAATGGGAGTGGGCTGCTGGGCACTCTTTGCTGCCATAGCCACCTCCAGCTTCCAGGAGCAGGTCAGAGCAGGTGCCTCTTCTGTGGCTGGCTAGTGTGCAGTGTGAACAGAACTGTCATCAGCACAAGGCAAGCAAAGTGCAGATAAGGATCTGCTTCAGGCTCATTTGGGCATTCTGTCCTCAAGTTTAAAAACACACAACAGGAGAGCCCTCAGCGTGTTGACACTGCTCCAATCATCCGGGCCCTCTGTGCAGGGCAGCCAGGCACCGCTCTCTTTCTGGGGTCTATGCCCTTCTCTGTCATCCCAGGAATTCCATTTCCCTCTCTCCCGAGTCAACTCCTGTTCCCCACACCCCATATATATTTGCCATAGCTAAACTGCTGGAACAAAAACATAAAATTATACTAGACGCCTACTTCCCATAGCAGCCCAGGGGTGGGTATGCTGACTCCACAGTCACATCACCCCAGGGGGTGTGCGCACCTCTGCTCACATCCCATCGGCCAGAACTGGCCCCCAACTCAAGGCTGTCCAAAGATGGCCCTTAAGGAGAAGCAGCAATGGGCACTAATGGGCCCATGTGGCTGAGAGCAGTGAGTGTTGATGGATGTGAGAGAAAGCCATGCTCCCTAATTCACTGCACCATAGAAATTGTTAGTGGTTCTGGAAATATTTGGAAGAACTGGACTCCTGATATATTTGAAATAAAATTCCTTTCTTAAATCAATAGGGCTATTTTCTTATTAAATACATTGAACATTGGAAGGGGCAGAATTTAATCTTACTCATTGGTGGAAGAGCATTCTGGCCTGGTCCCTTAAGCACAAATCGTATTTAAACATGGGCTTCTATCTATGCAGAGACTTGTATTTCCTATGTCCAGGTGACTTTCCTGGCGAGCCATGCAGGACTGAAGGAAGAAGGGGAAGGAAGGGTATTAGGAGAGCCAATGAAAGCGAAAGCGCAGAACTTTGTGTAACCTCTCTGGGCTGCACCTAGCACACCTGGGGCTTCAATCCCAATGGCTGCTCCTGCCCAATGGGCTTCTCCCTCCCAGCCAGCAAGGCTGCCCCTCTGGACAGTCCCTACAGCCCAGCTTCCTCGGAAGGGAGCAGAGCAACTGCCTTTTCACTTTTCTTTTGTGTCTTGTGAAACTGGCACTACTTCACACATAAAATTACAAGTTGTTAAGGTAGAGTTTTGCACTGTCTTTCCTTAGGAATCTTCCAGGTCACCCTGAGGAAAGGGTATGGATGCTCTCTAACACAATCTGCCCCGGGTTCTACCCACAGGTGTCACATGGGTCCTCCATTCCTAGAGGATCCAACTGGGGAATGGAGGACCAACAACTCCTGGGAAGGTCAAATTAGCTGAGCCTGAAGCTGTGGCCGCGAAGTTGTCCCCCAGCATCTAGAATGCATGCGATTAGGGACAGCAATCATACACGGACAATCATACAAGAACTAGGATAATTTTGTTATTATAAGGTACTCACACTACCTGTGAAGCAATGTATTGTTATTTGAAAATGGACTTGTATTATTTGCAATTGTATAATATACAGCAAACTCTAGGACAACTAATAAACAAATTTTTAAAAAGTTAAAAAATAAAATGCTATGAAAGGAGAAAAAAATGGAATCATAAAATTCTCAGTTAAAATCACAAAAGGGAGAAAAAGAATTAAAGGCAAAAATAGGAATAATGAATAAGGGCAACAAGTAGAAAGCAGTAGCAAATATGGTGGATATTAATCCAAGTATATGAATAATCACTTAGAATGTCTAAACACACCAATTAAGAGAGATTGTCAGAGTGGACCAAAAAATAAGACTCAATTATACGTTGTCTATAAGAAATTCATTTTAAATATAAAGATGCACATAGATTAAAAATAAGTAAATGAAGAAAGATACACTATGCTAACACTAATCAAAAGAAAGCAGGGGTAGCTATTATATATTGATTTTAGGCAGAGCAGACTTCAAGGAAAGGAAAGTTACCAAGGATAAAGAGAGGTGTGCCACATAAAAATGAGGAAATAAATTATCCAAGAAGACATAGCAATCCTTAACACATATGTGTCTAACAAAAGAACACCAAAATGCATGAGGCAAAACATGAACTTCAAAGAACAATAGATAAATTCACTATGATAGTTGGAGACTTCAACACCACTCTGACAAATGAAAAGATCCAATAGGCAACAAATCAATAAGCACATATTGAACTCAAAAGCTCCTTCAATAAATGAGATGTAACATTATAGACTATATTTAACAATAGCAGAATATAGATTCCTCCCAAGCTCACATGGACTATCCACCAGGATAAACCACATTCTGGGCCATAACAAATTTAAGAGAATATAATTCATACAAATTTAAAAGAATAGAAATCATACAATATCTGCTCTCACACTACAATGGAATTAAGCTAGCCATTAGTAACAGAAAGATACCTGGAAAAATCTTAAAATACATGATGATTAAACAACAACTCTTCTAAAACACACAAGTCAAATAAGAAATCTCAAAAGAAAATTTTGATCTAAATGAAAATGAAAAGAGAACTTATAAAAAAGTGTGGGGTGTAGCAAAAGCAGTGCTTAGAGGAAATTTTATATCACTGAGTACGGATTTAAAAAAAGATCTAAAATCAGTCATCTAAGCTTCTAGCTTAGGGAGCTATAAAGATAAGAGCAAATTAAACCCAAATTAAGTAGAAAAAAATAATAAAAAGTAGAACATAAACCAAAAAAATTGAAAACAGAAAATCGGTAGAAAAAAAATAATAAAACCAAAAGCTAGTTCTTTGAAAAGATCAGTGAAATCAACAGGTCTCTAACCAGGCTAAAAAAAGAGGAGGGATATAAATTGCTAACACCAAAAATGAGAGAGGATACATCCTTGTTGATCCATGGACATGAAAAGGATAATAAAGGAACATTGAACAACTCTATGACCACAAATTTGATGACCTTGCTGAAATGGACCAATTTCTTAAAAGATACAATTTCCCAAAACTCAAGAAGAAATAGACAATTTGAATAGGCCTAAACCTATAAAAGAAATTGAATCAATAATAATCTCCCCAAACAGAAAATATCAGGCCCAGATAGATCCACTGGTGAATTCTAGCAAACATTTACAGAAGAAATCATAACAATTTTCTACTATC